GCTCGGCGCGCCGCGGGCTCCGTCCCGAGGGGGCCGGGGGAGGGGCCGGTACCTTTAATTCGCCCAGCTCCGCCATCTTGAGACATCGCCGGCGCCCAGCCCGAGCGCCGCTCAGGCCCAGGGACCGGCGCGCAACTCTGCACCGCGGCGCCGGCCGCAAAGGCCGCCCGCTCCGCCCCGTCCGGCCCCCTACACCTCCCCTTCCCGGCCCCGCCCGCCGGGCTCCGGACAGGCCTCGGCCTCAGCCCCTCCCTCTGCGGCCGGCCCGGCCCCTGCTCGTCCGCGGCGGGTCGGCGAGAGCGTAGACCAGAAGGAGAGCGCTGCCCAACGATCGGGGTCCCGGGGTAACGGAGAGGGCGGGCCCAGGCTCCTGGGGGAGGAGGGCTTTGCCGCCCAGGAAAGGGGAGGAGAGGAGTTTTTAGGAGGCAGAGATACTTGGAAGACCGAGAGAAAGTCTCGGGATGGCTGGAGAGCCGAGACCTGGGGGAGGGGTGGCGAAGTTGGAGCGGACGCCCTGACGTCTCCAACGGCACAGCTCGGACCAGCCAGACCCGAGTGCTGCCGCTCTGGAGTGGGCGCGCTCCGACTCACTTTAGGAAGTCACGGAGCCGCGAGCAGTCCTCGACGGCTATTCGCGATCCTGCAGCCGCCGCCCTCTCAAGCACACCAACTACAAGCAGCTCCAACTCGGCAGCCAAAAGTTTGGTGCAGAGATCGGGACTTACCAGCACCGTGGCAGGGAGTGCGGGAGGGGCGCGAGAGGCTCGCAGAGCGGGCTCTGGTGGGGAAGGCGGCTCCACACCGCTCGGCGGGCTGCACCGACGAACGGTCTCTGCGGCCACGGCTCCGCCCGCCCGAGCTCGGGCTGGGGCCGCCCCTCCGGGTGAACCCGCCAGGACGGCGGAGAGGGGAGAGGAGGTGGAGCCCCGGGCGCGAGAGGGAGGGACTGGGAGCCCGAGCCAGAGAGATTAACTCCTCGAGTGAGTGGGTCTCGAGAGCTGAGGGTGGACCTCGCCGTCCTCACTGCCTCTGTGACCCCTTGCGCTGCTGTGGGGGGCTTCGAGTGGAGCAGAGCCAAGACTGTGGACCAGGGATCTGACTATGAAGAGATTCTTGCGTGGAATGAGGTCTCTTCCTCCCTAAGGGAGAAGGGTGGGATGCTAAATGGAAAGTGGCCCTCACCCCTACCCCTCTATAACTGGCCCACAACTCCCCAACCCGCTATAAAAGCTATCACCAGAGATCCCATCTGTGGTGTAACTGAAAGTGAACAGAGGGGAGGTTTTCTTTCACACACACACACACCCCTTTCTAGTCTTCTCTGAATTGCCTGCTCTCTTCTTCAAAGCCTTGGCCCCTGCAGGCGCCTTATCTCACTTGCAGGTCTCACAGTAAATTGTTTCTGTATCCATAGAGACACGAACCTTAGGGTAGTAAGTCAGATACTTGAGCTCTAATCAGGAATTGTTAGGTGTTGAGAACATACATGCCTCAAGAGCTCGCAGTCTAGCAGTAGAGACATGTTAAACCTATGATCAGTATGCAGAATAAAATTATTTCATAAATGCTAGTAATAATCTCCCCGTGGAGCTTAAACCTCTAGTGTGAGCCTTCCTATGAGACTGACCATAAGCCAGGAGACCAAAGGTGCTAGCCTAACACTATTCTTAGGCACCTGTAGAACCAGAACTGGTATGTCCAAATCCTTGGTAGGTTTTTTGTTTGTTTGTTTGTTTGTTTTGGTCTTTTTCCCCTAGGAAACACGGCTACCCTCTCCTGACAGGTTCTGTCCCTGATGCTTTGCTGCCTGAACCAGGGGTCTTTAATTTGGGCTAAGTGTTTTGTATTTTGCTGTTTAAGTCAGGCTCTTGCTGTGTAGTTCAGGCTGGCCTTAAAGCCACTATGTAGTTCAGTCTCGAACTTTCAATGATCCTCCTACCTCTGCCTCCCAAGTGCTGCCATTGCAGGCGTAGGCTAAGTAGCTGATGCTAAATCCCAGCTACCTAACACCTGAGTCTTCATCAGGCCCTGTGCTCCTATTTTGTTACTGTGTTCTGTCCTCCAGATCAAAAGTTACTGTGGATCAGTTTTTATTTCTAGAACGCTTTAGTAATTGCAGGGGTGAAGGGGAGAATAAGGAGGATTTAAAAAGAGAACAATAGGGCAACTATGGAGAGATGAATATGTTTAAAGAGAGGCTGTTCTTTAAAAGTTCATTTGAGGTTGAGACTGCTGGTGTAGCTCAGAGGTAGTGTGTGTGCACAGTCTGCATAGGCCCCAGCACCGGTATATATATATACACACAGTTAATTGGGAATTAAAAATTGTAGCATTCTACAGAGCAATAGATACTGAGAACCGGGCTTCATGAGAACAAGAGTCTTCTCTGCGCTCTTCATACTCTAGCCCCAGTATATGGCACATAGAAGACATCTTAAAAAACATCTACTTAATTAATGTTTATTAATTAAGCAAAGAAGGGAAACTGCCAGTCAGGACCAAGTTCCTGACTGAGTATTCAAAGATAGCCCGAGCCCCTCATAGCTCATCAAATTTCCCCTCTTCTCCCTGACACATTTCTGCCATCTGAAGCCTGCAGAATTAAGGAGGAAGTGAAGCAAGAATAAAATACCTAGCAAGGTCCTGTTAGCCCAGGAAGAATAGAGGGACACTGAGATCAGAGTTACTTTGGGGGAAAAAAAAAAATAGGTTAAGAAAAAAATCTGAGTTTGAAGTTCATAAAGTTGTATAGAAGATTATTTTAGAAAACAACGTGCTGGGTAGGTTCCACTCCTGTGTGACTCTCACTGCTCCCCCAGCTCAACCATCCTGGGATCTCTTTCCAGGGGTCCTGGAGGAAGCCAAAAACCCGGCTCCCCCGGCCAGAGCTGTTTCCTGACTTGGTCTTGAGCTTCGCAAAGTGATCTCCTCTTCTGGGGACCCTCCACTCTGCAGTTTCTCCATTCTCCCCAGCGCACCCCCCCGTATACTGGAGAAATGTAAGGCCTTCGGTGTTCTTTGCTAACTATGAGAGGGAAAGAGAGGTTCTGTTCCCCTTTACTAGAAATGGCCTGCGCCCTTCCGACGCTTCTCCTGACAGCTGTGCAGCTTCCCTTCCATGGGTTCCTTTCTCCCTTCCCTTTGCCTAAAAGTGGGCCTGAGCCATTCCACAAACCCCAAAGCTAGAAATAAAGCCATGCTGTTAAGTTGAGCTGTGGGGGACTCAGGTCAATAATTTCTGACATTGCCAGTTAAACAGAAGACCCAATGCTATTATGGGCTACTGGACTCTTTTAGAATATTTTGCTGAGTTTACACACCTATAATATTCAATAACGGAACTTAGAAAAAATGGGGTATACAGATGAATGTCCATTTTGTATCTGTGTATTCAAAGTGGTTGGGATAGATACGTAGTTACATTCTGTTAATGAATAGAATGATTTGTTCTAATGGTGTTTGTAAATAGGATCACAAGTCCGCATCTTGTACAGCAATTAACCACTAAGAAGAATATATGCAGTGTATTATTTGTTGAAAAATAAATAAATTTTTAAAAAAACCCAAAGCTGCCCTGTTCCTTCTCTAGAAGCTGCCTTGCAGATTTCAGATGCTCTTTTCCCCCTGGCTAAACTCTGGAGCCGGTCTCGACAACCACTGTGTAGCTTCCCCTCTTTGAGCCTCACCTCCGCTTTCATTGGCATCGCAGCCCCAGCCCTCTTCTCTCTCAACCCAGAGGCGGCGGCGGCTGCTGCCTGGCCCAGTGGGACCCAACAGAGGGCAGGCTGAGAGAAGGTGATGAGAGGAATCTATGTAAGGACACCAAAGGCTGAATCCAGGTTTTATTCCTCTAGCAGCCTGACTTGAGGAGGGGCAGGAGGAGGCACAGGCCTGGTAGGTGTTCTTTCAGTCCCGGAATAGAACCAAAAGCAAGAGGCAAGCTCAGGCACCCTGGCCTCCTTTTCTCAGGAATCAGACTGAATATTTGTGTTGGCTTTGTGAGACAGGGTCTCACTATGTAAATGAGGCTGTCTTGAACTAGGTAGCACAGGCTGGCCTTGAATTTACAGCAATTGGGTCGAGGAGATACCTCAGTAGAATAAGTGCTTGCCTGGCAAGCACAAGGTCCTGAGTTCAATCCCTGGTACCGCAAAAAAAAAAAAAAAAAAATTTACAGCAATCCACCTGCCTCAGCCTTTCAAGTGACAGGATTGCAGGCTGTGCTGCCACACCCAGCTCTCATCCCTCTTTCTGACTGGAACAAAAAACACTGACCAAACTCATCAATCAGTTGGGCAACATAGTAGTACACATCTGCAAGCTGGAAGCCAGCCTGGGCTATACTCTGAGTTCAAGGCCAGCCTGAGCTACCTAGTGAGACCCTGTCTCCAAAAAAAATCATTTAGGTGTTTAGGACTCACTGTCTACTAACAAAAAATCATTTGACATTATTTTACACTGGATATGTTGAAGATTATCCAAGCTTCTTAACCTCCCTTTAAAAAGATTATACTCTTCTACCCAAAGACTCCCTGCGCCCAGGAGCAATAGAGCCCTGACTGCTGGATCAGGGATATAGCTCAGCAGCACAGCAGCTGCCTAGTAAGCATGAGGTCCTGAGTTTGACTCGTACACCACCCCCTAAAAAAGAATTCTGACTTCTTAGAGCTGGACCTACTAATATTCCATACATATCTTCCACTGTATATCTTATTGCTATTTAATTTTTGTGAGTTTATATACTAGTTTATGGATGGATGTAGGACTTTTAGGTCCTGTTGAAAAGAGGGGAGTTGAATGTGGGATTGAGATTCTCTTCCAACAGGTTAAAGATTCTCCACAGGGATCAGAGAAGAACAAAGGGGAGTTGATTGGTGCTTCTGTATTCCTGGAACCTTGGAAACAAAAAGGCAGAGATAGGGCCCAATGGATGAGGTTAGAGCATGAGATAGAATGTTCTGTACCCTTAAGAATAAAAAAAGGAAGCTATGGAAAAGTGGGGCCAGATAGGTCATGGATTCAGGAACAAGAGAAAAAGAAGTGTGGCAGGGGACAAAACAGGCACAATAATGCACGCCTGTGATCCCAACACTGGCTGAGGCAGGAGGACTGCATTTGAGCCCATCCTGAGCAACGTCACTTGGTGAGACCCTGTCTCAAGATAGATACAGTCAGGCAGGTGGCAGGCAAGCAGACTTGGGATATAGCTCAGACAAAAGCCCTGGGTTGACTCCCTAGTAATGGGAGGGGGCAGTTTTAGAAAAAAAGACTAAGAAGTTAGTCAAATCTCATTTCCACCGAGGACCTGTGATGTTACTTCAACTTACTTGGCTTGGGAGGAGCCTAGATTAGTACAGCGCGCCCCTTGGTGTGTCCGGGTGGGTGAGGGCGCCAAGTGGTGCAGGGCCCCTCCTTCTGTGGCTCCTCCCTGCTCTGCTGCTCTGAAGCTAGCTAGCACTGAGCGGCTTGCCTTCCTTCGCATACCCCTTCTCCATGTTTCTGCTTGGGAGCTGAGCCAGCCAGCCAGGAGCCAAAAATAAGCAACTCCTTCAAATTTTCAGGTATTTTGTCCCAACAATGTAAAGACCGACACAGGGCTGTGTTTCAAATCGTGCGACTTGACCCTTTAATGAATGGATTTTTATGATTTTTTTGTTTTGCAGTACCAGGATTGAACTCAGGACCTTGCACTTGCCAGGTGGGCGCTTATGCTGCTGAGCTATATCCCCTGCCCCAGTGAATGGATTATAACCAACGATTTTTGAGCATGAGGGAATAGAAAAAAATATTAAGGATAAGGATTATTTTCTTTGTGTCATTTTAAGTATATGCACACAGGATATAAAATATATGTTTTCTCCTGGACCATAGAGATTGAAAGCTGTTGGGCCAGCCAGATAGCTCAGTGGACTAAAGCACCTGCTTAGGCTAATGCAGGAACTGAAATTCGATCCCCAGCGGAGTGCCACACCATCCCCGGCCCCAGAGCACACTGAGATTGCAAATGAGACTGGGCACAGTGGCGCACACCTGTAATCCCAGTGCTTGGGAGGCTGAAAACAGGAGGATCACTATGAGTCTGATCTGTGTAGTGAGACCCTGTAGACTCTGTACAAAAAAAAAAAAAAAAAAAAAAAGACTGAAACTGCTGTTTGCGACTGTTCATGATGGAAAAGAAATAGTTGCCAAATCTTAAAGACAATCAAGGACATCAGTGGTAAAATACACAGATGAACCTGCACACATCCAGAAGAAATGAGCTATCAAGTCACGGAAAGGCATGGAGTGCACTTACATATTACTAAGTTATGTAATCTTCAAAGGCTATATACTGTGTGGTTCAAAGTACACGGTATTCTGGAAAAGGCAAAAGTGTGGAGACAGTAAGTAGTTGTAGGGCCAGCCAGAGAGCAGACTAAAGCGCTCTCTCAGGCAGAGCGCAGAGGATGGGGTTCAATTCCTGGCGAGCTCTGCCAGCCCCGCCTCTGGGGTGCTCTGTGGCGAATGAGACCGAGCGTGATGGCGCATGCCTATAATCCCAGCGCTTGGGAGGCTGAAAACAGGAGCATCACTACAAGTCCAATCTATGTAGTGAGTCCCCGTAAACCCTGTCCTAAATACAAAAATAAAAAATAAGTGTCCAGAAAAGGGAAGGGAGTGTGAACAGGTAGGCTACAGAGGAACCTTGGGGTAGTAAAATTATTCTGTATAGTGCTGTCATGGTAGACACATTTGTTTAAATCCATGGACTCTAATGGGCCTGTGGACTCTGGCCAATAATGATGTGTCGATGTATGTCCATCAGCTGTAACAAATAGGATATTCTGGTGAGGACTGTTATCATGAGGGAGGCTAGGTGGTGTCGGAGCAGGAATATGTAGGAAACCTTTGTACCTTCTGCTCAGTTTTGCTGAGAACCCAAAAACTGTCTAAAATTTATTTGTGGCACTAGGGATTGAACCTGGGGCTTTTACACTGAGCTACATCCCCAACCCCTTTGCCTCCCTCCCCATTTTTAAAATTTTGATCCAGCTGTGGTGGCACATGCCTGTAATCCCAATACGTGGGAGGTTTAGGCAGGAGGATTGCTGTGAGCTCCAGGCCAGCCTGTGCTACATAGTGAATTCAAGACCAGACTGAACTACAAAGCAAAACCCTGTCTCAAAATAATTTAAATTCTGAGACATCATCACTGTGTTAATTAATTGCCCATGCTGGGTTTAAACTTGGGATCCCTCTGCCTCAGCCTACCAGAGAGCTGGGAATATAGTTGTATGCTACCACACCAAGATTAAAACCTATTTTACAAAATTTAAGTATAATGGAATAAGATCCTTTCCCCACCCCACCCTCTTGATAGAAAATAAACAAAACTGTTACACCCAGTACCATCCTACTTCTTGCTTTATTTTCCATGGAGCTGGTTTCCACCCATAACTCTGGTCTCATCCATGTTGATTCCAGGCTCTAAATTCTCAGGTCTTGGGTCCCTTTGTCAGATGAAGCCCCCTACACACACACCCTAGTGGCCAAACCCACCCCACCCACCCACCCCCCACAGCGTGATGGAGCCTCAGGAAACCAAGGGTGGTCCTTATTGCCTGAAAGAAAAAAAATCAAGGATGAAATGTACACACATCCACATGCTCCTTCTGCTCCTGCCTGTGTCAGTGTGCTGCAAGAGACTCACCTTTCTGGACTAGAGAAGAAAACCACCTGCATAAGAGGGGGAAAGGTAGCAGGACAGCGATAAAGGAGGGAGGGAGAAATACTGGAATAGGTATAGCCCTGCCCTAGGGAATGGCTCTGTACCTCTAACCTACTGTCACTCGTGTGTGTGTGTGTGTGTGTGTGTGTGTGTGTGTGTGTGTTTCTAGGGATTGACCTCAGGGCCTTCACACTGAGCTATGTCCTTAGCCCTTTTTATTTTTCTTAAGTTGCTAAATTACCAGGCTATGCCTGCTCTTTCAACCCTACACACACACACACACACACACACACTCGCACCTCTGCCCTGAAGTGCAGAGATTACAGACTGTACCACCAGACCAGCCCCCACCCCATCTGTCATGGGCATCTCCTTCCCCTCAACCTTGGGGGTCACCCAAGCCCCCTCTTTCCAGTCTCCATTCCATGGTCTCACTCACCCCACTCTCGGATTCCTGACTCTCCAGGCTGTACATTTTGAACTGATGTTAACACAAATGTCCTGTGTTCCTCAGGACTCCCGGTGGGGGTAAAGGAGCTTCCTGTTCCCTTCTAGAGCCACTTCTCTCCAGGCCTTTCTTCAAGCCCCACCCCTCCTCACCCACAACTTGCCGCAGAGAACTCATTACCTCTGAGGACCCACAGTAAGGCTGCCTCACTCCTCTTGCACGCTCAGGATCCGAAGTAGGATATTATACACATCCTGCTCCATGTAGCCCTGTACAGGAAAGAAAGAGATAAAAAATAGGAAATGGGAGGGACAGGCGCACTGGACAGGTCTGTGCTACCATGCTACATTTACTCTAATCCTCACCTATAACTCTAGTTTTAAAGTACTTAGCTGTTCCATGGCTATTTGCCTATCTTTGCTGGAAGGTAATAATGCCCACTTTTCAGGGTTTTGGCGAGTGTTACAATTATGAATATGAAACAAGGCACCAGAGCCACAGTTGTTTTGTTTTTTTAAAAGAACAAGCTACCCACATTTTCTCCCTTGGTTAGGACACTAAGGTGCCCTGGAGGAAACCCAAGAAATGACATAGGGGCCAGGAAGAGACCTTACAGTGGGGTCATGAAACAGAACAAAGAGAGCAAACAGCCCCCTCGCACATTCACACACAGATCTATCTAAAGAGCTCCACAGACCGGGCACTGGAGCCAGCTCTCTGAGAAGTGGCAAGTTTGTACAGGAAAGGAAAGGGATTCCAAATACAAGGCCCGCTACTGGGCTGGATGTCTCGCCCACCCCCAGACTCCACCCTGTTCACCTGAGCGGCATTCAGTAGGTGATTCCTGTAGGTGCTGATGATCTCGTCACTGTTCTTCTGGGAGTCCTGGGCATGAGCAACAGTGGTGAGTCACACACCACCGCGCCCGCCCCTCACGCCGCATGCGCAGAGTGGGAGGAACGGCAAAGCCAGCCCAGGGGGCAGCTCCTGGGTGGCTCCCTTGGCCCTCACAAGCCCGCCCTGGCCTTGCACCTCCCAGAACATCTCCCAAATGCCCACCGCTTCCACTGTCCCTTTTCTCTAGCAGCACCCACTTCCCAGAAGGCCGAAACACACCTGCAGCTGCAGGGCAAGGCGGGCATTTTCTCCCCGAACAGACAGAACTTCCTCTGAAAGCTGCTCCAGCTTCTTCAATAACTCCTTGATCTGAGGCCAAAGAGAAAGGGAACCAATGAGGCCCAGGTCATCTGCCCTTCCAAAGCCAGGGTCAGGCCCAGCTCTTTTTTTTTTTTTTTTTTTTTT